AAACCCTATTTATGACCTGACCCTTAAATCAAAACCCTGTTTCAGACCTGTGTTACAATAGGGAGTTTAAGCAAATCGCTACGGCTGGCGCTGATACGGCTGCCCGAAGTAAATTTCCTCCAAAATGAGACACTGCGTATGTACGTCGGTTGCATCCAGCCGTAGCGTGAAATCTGACCACGCGAGTCGGGAGGCAAAGGTTGCCTCTCATAAGCTTGTAAATCAGTATCTTGAATTTACGATAAAGGTGTTGCAAAGGTGTTGGAATGGCGAAGTGAGTCAAGTGAAATATTCGTGTTGAGCACGAGGTTGTTTTTCTTCGGTTAAGTTTGCTTTGAGGGTTTAGTCGAGATGTTTTATATCCGGACAACTATACGGTGCTATTTTGCTTCTTTGAGTATTGATATTTGTGTTCTTCGCGTGATATTCTTTGAGATATTTGTCTCTGAAATTGTATATTTCATCCATCAAATTGTTATGGTACAAAACGTATGGCATTCGCTTTCGCTCAGAAATAATCTGCATGTTCGTCCTAGGAAGGCGAATAACGGCCATTGTCCTTTGAGCGAAGCCATTTGGCTGTGAGAAACTAAATAAAAGAGATTCTAAACCCCTCAGCCGATGTTTCTTTCATCTTTGTATTTCGCTTTGCTTGCTAAACATAAAATTTGGCAAACCACCGAGACGTACTCTCCCCAGACCTTTNTCGTGTTGAGCACGAGGTTGTTTTTCTTCGGTTAAGTTTGCTTTGAGGGTTTAGTCAAGATGTTTTATATTCAGATAACTATACGGTGCTATTTTGCTTCTTTGAGTATTGATATCTGCGTTCTTCACTTGATATTCTTTCAGATATTTGTCTCTGAAATTGTATATTTCATCCATCAAATTGTTATGGTACAAAGTGTATGGCATTCGCCTTCGCTCAGAAATAATCCGCATGTTCGTCCTAGGAAGGCGGATAACAGCCGTTGTCCTTTGAGTGAAGCCATCTGGCTGTGAGAAACTAAATAAAAGAGATTTTATACCCCTCAGCCGATGTTTCTTTCATCTTTGTATTTCGCTTCGCTTGCTAAACATAAAATTTTGCAAACCACCGAGATGTACTCTCCCCAGATATTTTCAGTCACGGGAGCCGTAGTAGCACCAGCCGTAGTGATTTGCTTAAACTCCCTAATCCTGGGAACCTAAGGGTTGTCCCTGGGGTGGTCCCGAAAACAGGCATCAGACTACGCTTTACTTACTCCTAACAATCTGGTAGACGTAATTGGCGTCTTCTCCTCCAGCGCAAGCGTCAGAGCCCTGGGGACAAGTCTGGTTATAGTTCTGAAAACACTTGTCTGACAGGTCATGTTTGTTGTATTTTTGTTCTGCTTTAACATCACTCCAACATTCACCTGTAAAGAGGGAGATAACAGTATGTTTCGCTGTTTACTGTGCCGTACAAGGTGATTCCAGCTCTTACATCTATAAATGAAACCCTAAAGGGTGTATGACCATTCAAATGAAAGCTATTGAGAAGTACTTTCACGCAATACTGTTTATTATGCTCAAGGTGGCTCAGCGTGTAAGTCTGTGGATGAAACCCTAGCGTGTGACCATTCAAATGAAAGCTATTGAGAAGTACTTTCATGTAATACTGTTTATTATGCACAAGGTGGTTCAGCGTTTAAGTCTGTGGATGAAACCCTAGCGTGTAAACCATTCAAAAGAAAGCTATATTGAGCAGTACTTTCATGTGGTACTGTTTATCATGCTGTACAAGGTGGTGCTTACTTTTAAGTTTGTGGATGAAACCCTAGTGTGTGACCATTCAAATGAATGCTATTGAGCAGTACTTTCATGTGGTACTGTTTATTAGTTGAAATCTTATTCATTAAGCAGACTGTCGTGAATTGCTTTATCGTTTATCAAAAAAACCCACTGAGGTTGAAAAATATTATGATAAAGTTTTTCAAACAGGCCAGTTTACCATGATCGTATACTCCAAACATGCTGTATCCTTTCAGATGGGCTGCCCTTGCACATCGGCACAAAAATCTGGTGAAACCTTTTTGCCAGTTGTTTCCAAACTCCATGACAACCCCATTAAATCGCGGACTGTTCGGCTTCATCTCATTCAACAGTTCCTTAGTAAACGCACGATTGGACGAGTCTTCACCATGGCAACCGACAGGTTGGTAAGTAATCTCGCACGGGGCATCTGAAATTAGAAGAACCCGGATGTGAATTTCATGGACCTCACCCGATTTCAGATTCTCGAATCAGATTGTTTTATCTTTCGTTAATAAATTCAAATAGTTCTAAGTAGTTCTTGCAGATCGAGGCTAAGCGTTTCTTATCTTTTAACCAGTTTTGAATTAAAGTTACGTACGTTGAGAAAATTCTATGACGGGCGCGACTCCGAGGACAACGCTTAGTAAGATTTACCTTCGAATTTTCGCAGTTGTCTAGATCTGTTCAGAGTCTACTGGTCTCAGACCTTGCTCAAGCTAAATATATAACACCAGCGTTCAATTCCAAATGAAAATACATAAAAAATTAGCCACCGTCATTTGCATTTTCCAAAATACGCAGAAGTTAGTCATTTCACGTTGTCGTTTTGCAGTGGACGGCAAAGAAACATACAAAGATTTATGACGCACATACACAAATACTGTTCTACTCATTAAACCTTTTGTTTGATGGCGGTCTCGTTGCCGTTACCGTGAATTCAGTTTTTCCCGTATGACTTCAGTCTCCCTCGTACGTTTTTGCCTTTTATTTTTTCATTGAGCTTTAACTTAAAATTTCAGACCTGATCACTAACCTGCAAGTCGATAAACTGCATTGGCGAAATTTTTTCCTGCACAGTATTTCTCGTAAGGCTTGCACTTATCGAAGCATTTGTCCTGGCATTTGTTGGAAATACCCAGTTTGCTGTAAGTCTGTTCTCCGTGCAGGCCACTCCAACATTCACCTGAATAATAAACATAATAACTACTTATTAACCATGAGTAAGGTTAGGATCTACGCTAGATGAACAGAAATAATTAATAAATAAATTGTGGTGAGAATGCTCGCCTCCCACCAATGTGTCCCGGGTTCGATTCCGGCCCGGTGCCATTTCTGGGTTAATTTTGTTGCTGGTTCTCGCCTTGCTCCGAAGGTTTTTCTCCAAGTTCTCCTGTTTTCCTCCCTCCACAAAAACCAGCATCTCCAAATTCCAATTCGACCAGGATAGAGGACTTGCATGAACACCAGCTAAAACAGATGTGGCTTCCTCTCTAAATATTGTAATTTATTTAATATTTACATAAACCATAAAGATTTCTCGCGGTGTTCTTTACACGCGTACCATAGTACTGCACCCCAAATGTGTCATGGCCTTTTGTTCTAGCTATTTCAGCACAGCGACAGACGAATTTAGGAAGATACACGTCCCAATTCCTCCAGTCAATTGATTGGCCACTGTAAATTGCCAGCTTCTTTTCTCTGTCCGTCATAATGTAGTCAGGAAGTGGACGAGGCTTCTTCTTGTTGTCTTTGAAGCAACCGATCCTCTCGATATCTATATCACAGTCTGGTTCTAATGAGAAAATAAAATACAGGGATTGAGGGCTCCGGAGAGAAAATGCAACCATCATTGAGTAATATAATGATAAAATCTTTCCTGCCTTGGATCTTGCACTATTGAAAGAAACCTGGAAATTTAGGCCCCCTCGACACTCCGCCGGAGAAATTTGAAAACACAACTTCATACCTACGGTTAGGCCTACCGTCCACACTAATCCGTCATGAATACGGAGCTTTTCGAAAATGCTCTTCAAACCCGAGGAATTTGAAAACAGAAAACGTTTTGAATACGGAACTTTTCGAAAATGTTGACGTTACGACTGAGTCGTGTGATTCAGTTCCATGCCCGAATTTTCCTCAAACACCAATCCAAATAGGCTCGATTCCCGCCGCTTTCTCGAGTCCGGTCTACGTTCCTCCCGAGAAGAGAGTTCGGGGAAGAAGCGCGGGCTCCTTTCCCGAACAGCGGCTGGTAATCGAGCCTACAATCCAAAATGACCGGTGATTGTTGCGTTTTCAAATTCCTCCGTCGTAATGTGGACGGAAAACATTTGATCCAATTTTCAGAGTAAAATCTCCGTTTCCAAAATTTTTCCATTGTAGTGTAGATGGGGTCTCACAGTGTGAAATAAATAGCCTCACCTAGTTCAAAAACAAAGTTAGTCCATTTATTTCCAATACAATTCCTGTCTAAATGGCTGCACTGTTTGTAGTCATCTGCGATACAAGACTCTGAACTCTTCATCTCGTCCAGGTCGTAAGTCCCAGGAGCCCCGCTCCAGCATTCTCCTAAAATATAAGCAAAGATGGAGTTTAAAAATGATTATTTAACAAAACTTTTATGATGCCATGTCGAGAGGATATTAGGCGGCGTCGCGAAGATATGAATTATATTTTCGAGTGGTAAAATATTGTTTTAAACACGAGAAAATGAAATTCATATCTTCAAGCCACCCCGCACTTCTCTATTTATTATCTAATATAAATCTACTAGCGTTCTATCACGAATGCCGTTCTCTGATTGGCTCCGCTACTCACTGGCTAACTATTGTTGTAGATAGTGAGTAGCGTAGCAGTGTGCGCTTGTTAAAAAAATGACGGCCGCTTATTGGCGTTTTCGAGGTGTCTGTGAAGAGGATTTAGATAAAGTTTTGAACGACTAGTAGTTTTATACTAAAACAATTAGATTATTCGCTCTCGGCTGCACCCTCGTCAACTATCACTCGATGGAAATCTCGAGCTCATAATCTAATTGTCAAATAGACAAACTGACTGTTTGCACAAACAACCATCAAAAAACGGCAAATGTCATCGATATCTTCACTGGTTCAATAGTGAGGATGTGGAAAATACGCCACTTAGGTCTCGTATGAATTTTACGCGTGGTTTATTCTCCAGTTAAATACTCGTGTTTATTTAATAAAAAGTAAGAAAGTCCTTGTTGAATGCGTAACATCCGCACATAGCTGATTTCCTGAGATATAGGGAGTTTGTTTCGTCGGAAACAAACAAACAAAAAAAAGACAGGGAAAGTCATCGATGAAGCTTGCAAGTAAATAAAATTCAGAGCCCGCGATCTCCAGCTCCCTGGAGAAATTAAATAGTATGGCTTTCAATAGCCGACAGAAAATGCGACTGAAAAAGAATATCGCAGGGAACTGAATGATTTGAGATCAAAAATGTGAGCGGTGCGCAACTGTAACTAAATCAATCAAACGGAGTAAGAAAAATCTCTATCGTTAAATTCTCCCAACCTGCAAGAGATGACTTGTACTAAGGTCACTAATGAGAATTTGGATGTTGACCCAGGGGGAGGGCAGACTCCCATATAAAAAAGACGAGATGCTCGTCGCACCTTTTAGGGGCTAAAAAAAGAAATCGCTTTTGGTACCTCTTAGGGCCTTCAGCCTCAAAAGCTCCACAGCAGGAGCTTTCGTGGTACCTTTTAGGGTGTTGAGCCGAAAAAACATTACAGCAGATAATGTGTTTTAGAATTTTTTTTTTCTCTTAAGAGTGAAACAAATTTCAAGCCACGCCCACAAAACAGGATCTTGATACCTCTAAGGGATTCTTTTCAAAATTTTCGACGGGAAACCGCCGTCCTTTTTATGTGGAATTTTCTCCCTCCCCCGGGGATGTTTGCCAACGCCTACCGTAGAACTGCAAGCCGAACACAGTGTAGCCTTTAGCCTTGACAATCTCCGCACATCTGCAAGCAAACGCTGGCATGTAATTATTCCAGTTCGTCCAATCGATCCTGTTGCCTTTGTACACTTTACTTTTTGGGTCGCGCTCATTCAGCACTTGTTCTTTGAGTGCACGAGCTGGACTGTCCTGGAAGCAGCCCACGGCTTTATATGGAACCGCACAGTTGCTGCATTGCCACGCCACGGCTGCTTGGAAGAGAAACAAAACAAAACGAAAAGATTTTTAAGTCCCCAAAAACGATAGCGACTGGTACATTTACCCACTATTCTTAGTGCGCGAAAACAAGTACAAGGAAAGCCATATTTATGTGATATTTGTCCCTGTGCTAACGACATTGTGTATGCTAGGTTTGAAAGTTGTACGTAGTTTTTGTACGTTTTAATGAGAGTTGTTAAATTATGGGCTATGTAAGGCTTGCATGATATTGTTGTTAGATATGCAGCCGCCATCTTTTTTCCTATACGGAGAGTTATTTCCATGCTTGCTTGCATTTTTCCTCGAGTAACTACTGTACTTTTAGATGACCATCGTTCCCAGCGAAAAGTCTCGTTCGTTTCGTAGCAATTTAGAAAAGAAATTTTAGAAAATTCGAACCGCTGCCTTCTAGGAAATCTTTGAGTAAGAGACACTTCTACAAATAACTACTTTTATCACAGGTCTTCGTACAGGAAAAATGTGTTGTGTGATATTTATTTGGCTGGTAATGAAAAGGAGAGGGGTGAATAGGTTTTCGGATCGACGGATTTGGCCTTAAAAAGCGCACGGATTGTGGATTTTTGCGGTAAATAGAGCTTATTCGCGGATTTTGAAAACACAGTGGATCGTGGATCAGCTGTGAATTTTGGCGCGGATTCCGCATTATGCTTGTATTGATGTTCGAATCTTGGGTCCTAAACGGAATTTGGGTCATAGATCTTTCTTCAGCCTTGGTCGGTATGTTAATGAGTTCATCCAACTTATTTCTTAAGTTTTTTCAAACGAAGCTCATTTAAACTCAGGTGTGAGACTTTTATTGGAATTGTGCTGTGTTAAAGTCATCAAGCATCTTGCTTTCTTTACTATTAGTGCGAAATTAACCAAATTACCAATTTACCATTGAAATTTTACACTTCTGTTTCCGGATGTGGTTGTGCACGATCATGGTTTCGGATTTGAACAAAAATATTGGCGGATCGACGGATTTGGTGAAAAAAAGGCACGGATCGGCGGATTTGCATACCCCTATTCAGCCCCCTCGAAAAGAAAGCTAGGTTATAGTTTGTTTCTCAAACTTCCTCAGTCGAGGTAGAATGTATTTTAGAGTAATTTTCCCCGTGATTTTCAGGCCTTTGGTTCCCTCTACTTTCTGAGTCTCGCAGGGTAGACATTTGTTGTTAAGGCACTGTGGCATCACTTTTGTTACAGCTGTCTCGACAAAGTTTGTCTCACAAAGGAATAAAAGCGTACTACGCGACGATGCCGACTGGAATTATGGGTAATAATAGTTTGACGTTGCTTGATCCTTTCTATCGCACTGAGACATTTTGAGCTTCAATCAAGCAGTAAACCAACATAACGAACAGCGTTTTTCGACTGAACAGCTGTATATAACTACTGCTGTATCAGACCGCCAGTTTGGCAAAGGGCTCAAACTACACTCTTTTTCTTTAATTGTTGCTTGATGAACACAGAAAATATTTGTGTGTTATTGTGAGATCGAAGCTTTCTTAGCGAGTTGGCCTTACTAGGAAACAAGCCGAATTTGCCAGGTGGATCTTAACAGGCCAAGAGGTAGTTATGGATTATTTGGCTAAGGTTTTAATCCTTTTTCGCGGGCAAAATGTCTGC